TCCGCAGCTGTGGGGTTCGCCGCAGCTGCGAGGCGAGTGTGCATGAAATGAGTCTAGCAATGAAATGAATCTAGCAAAGTGTTAATATCAAGTTCGGAAAACTCGTCCGGTTGCACCTCCCCTTGAAGGCTAGGCGAGATGTTACTGGAAGAGTGGAGGTTCCTGTTTAGGCTTCATCGCGGGTTTTTTTTCGCTGTTTCTTCCATTTCCATTCAACAATGCACACTCACATCCGTTATCGATCGCTCTTACCCCGCAAATCCGTGCCTGAGTTGTGCCTTTAATTGTGAATTTGGGTTGATTCAATGTACTCTGTTGTCTTAAATGTTTTCTAGTTTTTTTCTGATGTTTGGTTTCCAACGTTGTCTCATACAACGCGTTGATAAATAAATAAATAAATAAAATAAAATAAATAAACAGGAAAAGGCTGGATTCTCTCCTCTTTCGCTTCCTCAAGCAACACCTAGGAGTGTACAGGAGAACCCGGTTCCAAAAGACCCAACTCTTTACCTCGATCATGCTCCTCTAGCAAATCTCGCGCTCTCGCGCTTTTTGTCGACTTGGCGACTAGTGATGTTTCAATGACTATTGAGCACGAGTGTTGTGACGAGGTTGAGACGCAATGGGATGTTTTTGGATTTGCACGGGACCCACCCAGGGTCAACCCTACGTTGTTACTAGTAACAACGGGGGGGTCGTACCTGGTTGAGTTTGTGGGAGGGGGGGTCGTATAGGTTGGGAGTTGGGAGCGCGCGGGAGAAAAATTCGCCGTTTCAGTATGTAACCGAGAGTCTCGAGTAAAATGGTGGAAATTTAGGGAGTTCATGTAAATTTTTACTGTTTCAGGTAGCTAATCCCCCCCCCTCCCCGCTCGACGGCATTTTTGGAGGAAAAAGTGGGCGGAGTTTGGTGGGTTGAGTGGTATCAGAATTAAATACTATAGAGACGATGATGGTGGTCGAGGTGTCGGAAAGGGGGTCGTATCAAATCCACCTTGGGGGAGGGGGTCGTAAAAATTTTTCAAAAAGTAACAACGATAGGACCGACCCTGCTCTCAACTCCTTCTCTCAAGTTCACTGGCGTTTGAATTACTAAAATGCGATTATCTTAGTATGCTACCTTTGAAGGTGGAGTTTACGATAAAAAAAAACAGACGCTTAGAGATCAAGGTTGAGGTGGTTAGTGCTGCTTGTTATAAAAACAATTATAACAGTCCAAAACTATAGAAATGGGACCTCGTCTTTGAACATTGATTTCCTCATTGATGCGGGATTCTCATCAGTACTGGCCGTTTTCAACCTAGACGCTCTGTTCTGCTGTGAGATTCTTCGACCTCTTCAACCTCCGACCTGCCCGTAGAATCCTTCATCAAATACTCACCTTGCATCTTCTTCAGACGAGCGAGTCGGCTGGCTTGTGTGCCGAGTTTTTGCTGTTTCACCATCGGCATCGACACCGTTGGTGGTACGGTACCGTTAAGAGATACCTGGAGGTAAATGGTGAGAATACATGCATAGATTGCCTCGTTGCACTCTTAGGCTTCACCTTGAAATCCTGAACAGCAGTTTGAGTGTTCAAACAGCCCTCGAAACAATTGTACTTGTCGTTCAATGGCACTCCTCCATACGCGAAGTCGGTGACACCGTCAACGAGACTGAACGCCCACGAACCTTGTCCATCGTTGCAGACTAAAGCGATGCTATGTATTTTTAAGGTGCCCTCACATTCTGAGCTTTCAATATCATCTTAATAGGTCTCTGAAAATTGGAAAGGAACGGGGCTTTGAGGAATTTTCTTTTCATTTTTTTCACAAGTCCCAGAAATCGCGATATGAGATGACTGCTGATTTAAGTTCGTGCAAAATCATGCTGAAACTTCCAATAAGGCGCACATCGACCTTTATCCACCTTCTTCCATCAGTATTAGCTTGACGTAATTAATTTGTAGATGATATGCTCCGTGGAAAATCCACAGAAGAACTGTCATAAGCGGTGCATAATATTTTACAGATACCAATCAAAAACGTACTGTTTGCTGCTGCCAGACCAATGCAGACTGCAATGAGGGACTCCTTCAGCATCTGAAAGTACAAATTTGAATTTTTACATCGATGACACCGATTCTTCAGAGGTCATTTCATCATCAGACGGGCAGGTACAGAATCTTCCGATTACCTTTTTTTGATAATAAATTGTTAAAAGTATCCTACTGCATCATTGTATAGGTCAAAAAGGTTACAGCAGTATGAACTAGATAGCAGAAGAGTGCAGATAGGTTTGACTGTAGTGAATGATAGAGGATTTCCTTGAGTTGCTTTGGAATCGCATCAAAGATAACTAAGTATTTTCTTTATTTTTTATTTCCACACACACATTAGTGGTGAAAAATATTCCAGGCAACAGTTTGCAATTCATTTCTCCTTCCACTGAAAAGGGCTTGAAGTTACGGTAAGGTGCTCCTTTCGCAATACTTTGTTTACAAACGACTTC